AATATTGAGCAAAATATTACTCAATATTTTCGGACCTATCATGTTAGTTTAGGGATTTTATAAAATTATTTATTTGTCAAAAATTAAAGATTTAATAAGTTTATAGGTATTTGGAAGAATAAAATCAATTTTTCTTGCTAGATTATTAGGGTGGCCGAATTTGGACTATACTAAGGTATAAAAATCAGATTTAAAGTTCAAAATATTATTTGATAAATTTTGGAAATCATTTTATTTCATGAAAATAATTAATTTAGCAAATATTTAATAAAAATCAGATTTTTAATATATAAAATCCGAAAATGTGTTTCATTAGTTTAGGAATTGATTTTTATTTTATGAAAATCAGATTTTTAATTGTAAAAATGCAAAAATGATATTTATTTAGTTTTAGGAAATTTATTTCATGAAAATAATTAGTTTAGCAAAATATTAAGTAAAATTGGATTTTATTGGGAAAATCCGAAATCATATTTATAAAAATCAGATTTTTAAATTCAAAAAATGCCTCTAATTTTATTAATTAATATAGTTTTGTTTTATTATTTATTTAATCAAAATACTATTTATAAAATATTTAGTTTATCCATTTAATTAAAATAAATGGTTTAGGCGCCAAAATTCAAATATCATTTTGGCTCCAAAATTGAGATACTCTTAAGTTAGAAAATACGTCGAAAATACGAGACTAAATACTCTATAATTTAGAAAATACCTTTCAAAAATACGGGGTATTACAGTCTACCCCCCTTAAAAGAAGTTTCGACCCGAAACTATGCAGAGTGATGAGGAAAGTAAAAAGAATTTCTTCTTTGAAAATAGCTTTTAGTTAATTAATTTCATGCACATGCTAAACATTCTAACTAGACACAGCCTATTGCTAACTTAGAGGGTTGGGAAAAGATGCGCGCGAAACTCTATCGCATTCTACCCCCCTTAAAAGAGTTACGCCCCCGTAACTCGACTACTAACCTCCAGAAACAGATCTAGGTAGCGTTTCCGCATTTCGGCTTCAGCTTCCCATATTGCTTCCTCAACCCTGTGATTAGTCCATAACACTTTCACAATTCTCACATCTTTGTTTCTTGTGCTCCTGACTTTAGTATCCAAGATTTTGACAGGTCTTTCTTCATAAGTCAGATTCTCGTCCATTTCTATGTTCTCGGGTTGTAGTACATGAGTCGCATCAGGTACATACTTCCGGAGTTGGCTCACATAAAATACGTTATGAACCTTTTCTAGCTCACTGGGTAAGTTCAACCTATATGCCACCTTTCCGATCCGTTGGGTAATTTCGTATGGTCCGATGTACTTTGGACTCAATTTTCCTCTTTTTCCAAATCTCATAACCCCTTTCATAGTTGACACTTTCAACAACATTTTCTCTCCCACTTGATATTCTTCTTCTCTTCTTTTTGAATCAGCATAGCTTCTTTGCCTATCTTGGGCTGCTTTCATCTTCTCTTGTATCAATTTGACTTGTTTCACCATGTCTTCAATCATATCTGGTCCAAGTACCATCGTTTCACTGATATCACTCCAACAGACTGGGCTTCTACATTTCCTCCCGTATAGGACTTCAAATGGTGCCATCCCAATACTTGCATGGTAACTATGGTTGTAGGAGAACTCAATCAAATCCAGGTGGTCTTCCCACGACCCTTGATATTCCATTACACATGCCCTTAACATATCTTCCAATGTTTAGATGGTCCTCTCGGTCTGTCCGTCAGTGGCAGGGTGGAATGCCGTGCTCATTAGTAGTTTCGTCCCCATTGCTTTTTGCACACTTTGCCAAAAGTTGGATATGAATCTCGAATCCCTGTCTGACACAATATCACTTGGCACCCCATGGTACTTGACTACATACTTAACATAGGCTCTTCCCAATTGCTCCATGGACCAAGTATTTTTCATGGGTATAAAGACCGCTGTTTTCGTCAATCGATCCACAATTACCCAAATGGTGTCATTTCCTGCCCGAGTTTTGGGTAATGCCCCAACAAAATCCATAGAGATGGAATCCCACTTCCAACTAGGCACTTCTAATGATTGGACCTTCCCTTGTGGTCTGCGATGTTCAATCTTTACTTTCTGACATGTCAGACATTTAGCCACAAATTCTGCAACCTCTCTTTTCATATTGGGCCACTAAAACATTTTCTTCATGTCCTTATACAATTTGTCCCCTCCGGGATGCATTGAATAAGGAGAACTATGAGCTTCTTCCATCAACCTTTGCTTGATGTCTCCACGGTGCTGTGGGACGCACCATCTTCCCTTAAAACGAAGTCCACCATCTTCATCAATGGTGAAATCCGATACCTTCCCTTTACTCATTTTCTCTTTTATATTTTTCAACTTTTCATCCTCCGACTGACTGTTCTTAATTTCCTCGAAAATTGACGGTCGAATAATCAAAGCGTTCAACATCCGACTGACTTCTCCTTGATCTACCACCTCCAAACTCATCTTTTGGAACTCGATACACAGTTGGTCCGGCAATATCATCGCATATATCGAGTGTCTTGACTTCCTACTTAAGGAGTCGGCCACTACATTAGCCTTACCCTCATGGTACTGGATTAGCAGCTCATAATCCTTGATGAATTCTAACTATCTACTCTGTCTATTGTTCAATTCCTTTTGGTTGAAGATATATTTTAGGCTCTTGTGATCGGTGAAAATTTTACAAGTCACTCCATATAAGTAATGCCTCCAAATCTTCAAAGCAAAAACTATGGCGGCAAGTTCCAAGTCATGAGTTGGGTAATTCTGTTCATATGTCTTCAGCTGTCTTGAGGCATAAGCAATAACCCTTCTATCTTGCATCAAAACACATCCTAACCCAAACTTTGACGCATCGCTGTACACTTCATACTCCTTGCTTTCATCAGGTAATGCTAACACAGGGGCTGTTGTCAATGTTTCTTTTAGGGTTTGAAATGCCTCTTCACACTCAGGAGACCAAATGAACTTACATTCCTTTTTCATCAAGTTGGTCATCGGTCTTGCTATCTTCGAAAATTCCTTTATAAACCTCCGATAATACCCGGCCAATCCCAGGAAACTCCTCACCTCTGACACTTTCTTTGGGGTTGGCCACTCCTGTACAGCTTGGACCTTAGCTGGGTCAACCGAGACTCCTTCCTTAGAGATTACATGCCCCAAAAGGCGACTTCCTCTAACCAGAACTCACACTTAGAGAGTTTGGCATATAACTGGTGCTCCCTTAACAATTGTAACACTTTTCTCAAATGGTCTTCATGGTCCTCCTTACTACTCGAGTAAACCAGAATGTCATCAATAAATACCACCATAAACTTGTCTAAATAGGGTCGGAAGATTCGATGCATTAGATCCATGAATACTGCCGGCGCGTTTGTCAACCTAAACGGCATTACTGTGAACTCATAATAGCCATAACGGGTCCTGAAGGCCGTCTTAGGAATATCTTGCTCTGCAATCCTTAACTGATGATAACCCGACCTCAAATCTATTTTCGAGAATGTTCCTGCTCCCTTTAACTGATCAAACAAATCATCGATCCGGGGTAATGGGTATTTGTTCTTCACGGTGACATTATTCAACTCACGGTAATTAATACATAACCATAAACTCCCATCCTTTTTCTTCACAAACAATACTGGAGCTCCCCAGGGTGAGGAACTGGGTCTAATGTATCCCTTTTCAAGCAAATCTTCCAATTGGGCCTTTAGCTCTTTCATTTCAGCTGGGGCCATTCCGTATGGAGCCTTGGAAATAGGTCCAGTTCCAGGAACCAAGTCAATTGTGAATTCCACATCTCTTTCTGGTGGCATGCCTGGTATTTCATCGGGAAATACATCGGGAAATTCTTCCACAACAGGTAACTTTGTATCACTCTTCCCTTCTTCACCCCTTATCTCTTGGAGGCTACACATGAATAACGGATACCCTTTCTTGAGGCACTTCTGAAGTTGTAAAGCCGAAATAATCCTTATTCCTTGACTTTTCCCTTCCTTCTTATAAGTCACTTTGGTCCTTGCTGGGCCATAGAGCGTGACCTTTTGTGCTGAACAATCTATCTGGGCTTTGTACTTCCCCAACCAGTCCATTCCCACAATCACATTGAGGTCTTTGAGATCGAACTCAATTAGGTCCGATGGAAACTCTACTTCAGAAATAGTTAGGGGTACATTCCTAAAAAGTCTAGAACACTCCCTAACTTCCCCCGTTGGAATAGCTACATCCAAGGAGACTGACTCTGGACTTTCTAACTGGAGACTTTCTATTACTGTCTTAGAAATAAAAGAGTGTGATGCACCCGAATCAAATAAAACTTTCACAGATAAAGGACGTATAAGAAAAGTGCCAATTACCACATTATTGGAAGTCTCAGCTTCATGGCTATTCATTACGAAAATCTGTCCCTTAGAAGTGTTTCCACCATTGCTGATTCTAGTGTTCTGGGAAGGTCCGCTAGTTTGTGGGGGTTTTGGGGGATTCCGTCCATCCTGAGCCTTTCCATTCTTCAAATCTGCTTCCTTCTTGAAACACTCGTACTCTCGGTGTCCCAATTTTTGGCAGTATCGACATGTCACTTTATTGCCTACACAGTCCTTCCCCGGGTGGTCCTTCCCACATCTCTTACAGAAGTAACTTCTCTTATTTCTCTCCTTGTTCTCTCTATTCTCACCACCATGGTTTGAAATTCTCCGAAAATTCCCCTTAAAGTCCCTCTTATCCCCATGATTCCCATTCCCAAAACTCGCATGGTTCTTGGGCCTCTTATCGCTCCCTTGGGGTTGATCATTGGACTTCCTTTTCTCCCCATACATGCTCCCTAACTCTCTTCCCTTGATCCCATACAAATGGGCGGCTCGGCCATACACCTCATCTAGACTCTCAAAGGTTGCCCCTCCCAGTTTTCCTTGCAGATTCCAAGTTAACCCCTGCTCGAACCTTTGTGCTTTGATAGCCTCTGTTGGTACTATTTCTGGTGCAAACCTCATCAACTCTTAGAACTTAGAATAGTACTCACTCACAGTCATAGTTCCCATCCTTAAGTTAGTGAACTCCAAACATTTCTGTTTCCTTAAATGATCAGGATAGAACTTTTTCCTCAAAGCTACCTTGAAATCCTCCCAGCCAAAATTAGGGTTTACCATCAATTCTTCTTTCTTTTGGGTCCACCATAAGTCAGCTTCTTCCTTTAAGTAGTATACAGCATTATTAACCTTCATATTGTCTGGACAGTTGATTGCATCAAACAACTTATCAAATTCTCGGATCCAGTTTTCAAGACTAGTTGGGTCCTCTTTTCCTAAGAAAAAGGGTGGTTTGGCTGCAGCTACACCCTTAAAGACTTCACCAAAAGTATCCCCCTTTCCTGAACCCTTCCCTTGGTTTGTTACTTGGGTAATGTTTTCAGCAAGATCAATTAGTTTCTTAAGGACCTTGCCCATATTGGAACCAGCTTTCTTATTCTTTAACTTTAAAGACATATTTTCCTGATGTTCACATTTGAGAGAAAGAAGAAAGAAAAAAAAATAAAATTCATTCATATACATAAACATAGAGGAAATTAAGAAAATACTTTATTATTATTAATTAATATTCGAGTACACTTTATTATGCATCTAATTTATCGAAACAATCATAACATGAATCATTTAATTGATCACTCCTCTTCTACTGGGTCAAACTCTTGATCTTCATTGTTAGTCTTCTTGTTACCATTGGGCTCCTTCAAGTAGGTTGGTACATAGTCACTGTAGTTTGGGGTTTGGCCTGACTTTGGATTTGGGTTTCCTTGAGGGTTTGGGTTGTTGGGTTGTGGAGGAGGTGAAGAGTTGGAGCTAGAAGATGATGAGAAGTCATGGACTCTAGGCCTTTTTAGAATTCGGGCTTTTGTTTGAGGTTTTGGATGTTCACGTGGTATAGGTACATTGTACTGAGAAAAGTGGGAAGGATGAGGGTAGTTCTTACGCCGTCCAAGTGGTGGAATGGATTCATCATCCGAGGAGTCAAAGTCTCCCTCATACTTTGGGTAAGAAAAAGGAAGTTGAGCATTTAGATAGCGGAGTTGGTCAACCTCTCTTAATGTGTGGTGAGGGGTAAGTTTAGATGGCTTGACGGACTTCCTCTTAGGTTCATAGTTACGCTCCAAATAGTGTTAGTCATTCTTAAAATGGGTCAAGGTGGCTAGCCATTTTCCTTCATGGTGATGCCTCTCATTCCAAAGCCCATCCTCCTTAATCACATCCCCATACTTCTCAAGTAGAGGGTAGTACTTCTTAAGCTTGGGTAAGTGGGCTAATGCCAAAAGAACTAGTCAAGGGGGTTGGGTGAAGACTTCAAGATTATACTTCTCATAGTAGTGCAGAGCTAATACTGTTATTCCAGTCACAAAGTCGCTAACACTGATTGCATCAGTTTTCAAGTAGTGAATGTTAAAGTACTTCTTCCTAATATCATCCAACATCTGTTTAGAAAACAATAACTCAATAAGTATCCATATAAAATACCAATGTTCACAAACATATAAGTTTAACATATATGGGCCACATATATACTCAAAGATCATGTCCATGGACTTCTTCAAAAATTCATAATATACTTATCTTATATGCACACATAGTCTTTGAAAAAAAATAATTTCAATTCATTTTCTTTTGAAATTAATAATGTACTTGACTCATGATATAGGATGGTCGAGCCCGCGTCTCCTAGGTAAGTTACCCACAGCGTCGGGGAGAGCCTTGCCTAGACAGAGAGACGTACCCATTATAGGCCTCGTTATGAGAACCCGAGCATCTTTTTCTCAATCATCTTTCCAAAGAAGAAAATAGTTTTTTTTTTTTTTTTTTTTTTTTATAAAAAAAATACGAAACTCTATCCTATATGCCCAACTTCAGTCTACCCATCCAATTTATTTATTCCACTTTTAATCTTGTTTTAAGACCCGACAAACTGATACCACTTTGTAACACCCCCAAATCTTTTACAGTGGTAGGGAAGGGTGGTGGAAGACAGAGAAGAGGGGAAGAGAGAGAAAGAGAAGAAGAGAGGCGGGTGGGGGGAAGTGGGGATTGAGGGTAGTTTTAGGGTTTTACATTTTTTATATGGGTGATTTTTTTCAGATATCGGATCGGATATTCGATATCCAAAAAATCCGGATCGGATATCCATAATTTTCGGATTGGATGCGGATCGGATCATCGGATTTTCGGATTTTCAAATAGTTTTTGAAAGGAATGGTGTCCTTCCAACAAGTGTATTATTCCGATAGAGGGTTCAGAATTATTACAGAGCTAATTCTTCAGTAAGGTTAAGTGATCGGAATGCCTAGGTGGAGGCCGCTTCCGATCAGTAATATCAGGGTACAATTGATATTACAGCTTAATCTTAACTGAACCCTTCGGGTCGAACCCAATCGAATCTCCGATCCGAGACGTCGAATTAATCCGAAAGGATTTAATGAGTCGACAGAGTTTTACGAATACAGACGTCGGAAATCGAGCCTAGGGCGTTGATACCGAGCGTCGCAAAATCACAAGCAACAAGTATGAGCGTATCCGTAGCTAGGCTAGGCTAGCTCATAGCATGCCTAGGTGCACCATGTGTGTGCTAGGCGCACCATGATGTGCTAGGCACCATCGCAGCTTAGGCGCACCCTGGCAGCCCATCGCATGCTAGCGTGGGTGCCTAGGTGCGCATGGCAACCATCGCAAGCCACACAGGCACTAGGCAGCCCATAGCAGCTAGCAAGCATGTTAGCGTGGTGCCTGGGTGCATATGGCGCCTATCGCAGACAATGGCCGCACCAGGCTTAGCATGATGGCTAGGCACCATGGCTGGCTGTCGCTAGCACCAGGCGCGCCAGCACAGCCCTAGAATCATGCCTAGGCGCTATCGCAGCCCTAGCATGATGCTAGGCCCCATCGCAAGCCAGCAGCCCAATCGCAGGGCCTATACGCATCACTAGGCGCACCATGCGTGGTCTAGGACGGCTGGGCGCCATCGCAACCCAGGAAGCATCACTAAGCGCACCATGCGTGCCCTAGGATGGCCTAATGCCATAGCAGCCCTAGCATAGTGCTGGGCGCATGGCAGGACCACACGCACCAAGCACAGCTAGTGCTAGGCACTGGCGCATGCGTGGTGTGTGGTTCCTGGGCGAGGCATGTGCGTGCATAGTGCGCAGTGTCGAGGCTGATGCGTGTGGGAGTGCGAGAGTATGTGCGAAGGGCTGGGAAGCTAGCAAGCAACGTCAAGCCAAGCATGCGTGGCTCGCTAGCAGCACGCATGCTAGGCATTGTGTGCGAGAGAGATGCGTGGTGCGCATGGTGTAGGAGTGCGGTGCGTGGCAAGAGGCCAGCATGCGTGGCTCGCTAGCAGCACGCATGCTGGGCCATGCAAGTAGCAAGGATGCGAGGGATGCTGGCAGCAGCGCCAGCACGCACCTGCCAGCACCAGCGCCAGCACGCACCAGCGAGCATCAGCGATGCTGCTGGGCTTGTGCTAGCATGCTAGGCTAGCTCGCACAACCAGCTGGCACGCTATCTAGCAGCTGGGCAGCATGCTAGGGTGAGGCGGTTTGTGAGGAGAGTGGGGACCAAGGCTTTGGGAAAGCCTTGGGGAGCAAGGCATTGGTCCCCCCCACCTCTCCATGGTCCTCGCCTAACACTCTCTCCCTCCTTGACACTTGTCGAATTGTGATTGCATTTGTTAATGATTTATTTTAGAAATAAATTAATTAGCAAAATTCATTCTCCCACATTGTTGGAGGATGAAATATCAAGGGATCATTTCCCTATAAATACCAAGCTTGGTATTGGGATTTGAAATAACCTTGAGTGGAATTAAAAAGGCAACTCTAGAAAAGAGTAAACCTTTGATTCGTAAAACTCATAGTTATTTTGTCCGGGTCTTGACTAATCTTCAAGACTTGGGACGCTCGGGTCAGGTCGAGGGTACGATCCGTCGGAGATCTCGTCTTTTCGAGACTTTGAAGTAAGAGCTCCTTGGGAGCGAAGCACGCGTCAAAGGTATAATTCTTATCCTTAATCTTGTTTGATTAAGTTTATCATGCTTGTTTAATTGCTTTAATTAAGGGGCGGGTCTTGGTGGGTTTCCTTCCGCGTAGTGTCGGGTCACTACGAAACCCTATAGTTTTGCTCAGCCCTAGAGAGACCTATTCAAACCTTGGAATAGGGGTGAAACTAATTTGGTTTAAAACCGAACCGAACCGAATTAGAATTATGGTTCGGTTTTTTTTTCTAATGTGGTTCGATTTGGTTTGAAAATCCAAAAACTGAATTAGAGTAGTTCGGCTTCGGTTTGAGAAATTGAAAAACCTAAAAAATCGAAACCAAACCAAACTTTCAGCCCAAACCCCAAATTTACTATATAATGTTTATTTTGGGTGTGTGTGTGATGACTATAGAATGTTTTTATCATGATTAATATTTATATAATTTTCAAATTTAGTTTTTGAATTAAAAAGCCCCAAATTGAAAACCCTAGGTTTCTAAATTAATGTTTATTGATAGAATTTGATTGTAGTTGATTAAAACTATTGAAATTAATGTTTTTAACCTAAATTACAGCAAGTTTAAGAGTTTTTATAATACTGGAATTTTTATGTAGAGGCTAAAATTATGTTTTTGAAGGGATTTTTAATTACCCATTAATTGGGAATAAAAGTAGGTGGTTTAAATTAATTTTCAGCATGTTTTAGAAGGTTTGAAAGTGATTTAAAGAGTATATATAGCTGGAAATTTATTAAGAATATGTATTAATGTCTCTTTGTAATTTTGGGTTATAGGAGACTTCCAAGTGAGTAATTTCGTGTAGTTGTGGCGATTTTGAGATCATATTCGAGGTATGTTCGCGTACTCGGTAATTATTTAAGTGTGTAGAAGCATGCTAGGCTTTGTTTAATTAATTCCAAGGTAGTATCATGGTAGGTATTGGTTGGAATTGTTGATTTGATTAATGTTGGTGATTGATTTGTGAAGTATGGATTATTTGAGGTGAATTGATGAATGGAATTAATTATGTTGGTATGTTGATTATGAACCACACTTTTATCATTGGCAAGATTGAGAGCATGTTTAATTAAACTAAATATTTAATTTGGTTGGGATTATGAAAAGGGAATTTTATTATAATTCATAAATTTTTTATTAATGCTCTAAGCATGGGAAAAGAGCTATTTAAGTGTCTATGTACACGAGGATTAAATTATATTTTGGTGCCTAAGTGCACTTAAGGTGCTCTAAATACCGAAGGATAGGATTTGTGGTGCATTATCCGCTTTAGGTGTTATTTAACACCGAGATAGTTTAAAAAGGGTTCAACATTAAATTAATTGTGGTCACTATTTGTTCAAGAATTAAATTGGTATGTTTGATTACTTGAATGATTATGATGATTGATTATGTTGTTAATTAAGAGTCATCACCAAGTCTAAAAATATGTAAACAACGTAAAATGAAAGAGATTACGCGCCAAAACTCTTGGAACGTATATACCTTGAGTATGAACATATCGGGGGATTATGCGACTTTATATTTGACCATAACTCTACTAGGATATTATGCTCAAGAATTCCGCCACGTACAAGTGGTTCTTTTATACCGGCACGGTTAGCTCTAGTGTTAGTACCCCTTTATTGGGGCATGTTAGGGAGAAACCCGTTTGATGCGTAATCAAATCAAATAAGCAATTTAGTTATTTATTTGTTGATTGTGTTGTATGATTGTAAACAGGTGCAATAAGGTAAGTTGTGTGTTGATAGGATGAAGCATGCTAGTGTGTACTGTTTACGCTTATGTACTCAACATTGCTGATTTGTATGTTTGTTTGGCCTTGTCTTTTTCTTGGCCCTACGACAACCCATTTCTAATGGCGAGTAGTGGAGACACAACAAAGAGAAGTTTTTCAGGTATTGAAGCATATTCATGATGGGCATGAGTGAACAACGAATCCTGATTAGTTTCCATCAAAATATGATGTGTTTTATATGCTTTAATTATTATATATTCTTGTGAGACTAACACAAAGGTTTTTAATATTTGTTTTAGGTTTTGACAAGGGCCTACAACGGTTCCAGTTTTAGGTTGACTTTGTTTGACTTTGGTTTGACTTTACTTTCGTTTGGTTTGACTTTTTAAGTTGACTTGTTTTGAATGTTTTTTTTTAAAGTGAGTCTTCCGCTGTGTGTCTTTGATAATTGTCTTAGCTGTTATCACGGTGGCGGTAATGTCTTAGAATTTCCTATTTCGTATTTAAAAAAAAAAAGATCAAAACAAGTATTTTAAAGAAAAGGAATTTCTAGGGTGTTACACGTTGACATGGTCATTTTAATACCCTGCCTCCGTCTCAATATCAAAGGAAAAGTTGCTATCAACTGTAGCTTCATTCGGATCTTTACGTGGTATAAGATCGTCTTAAGCTATTTCAGAGGTAGCCTCCTCACAGACGGCGCCAAATATTTTGGGTTTTTAAGATGTAGTGCGTGAGAGTTACAACACTGAATATAGTCCACTGGATATGATGTACCTGCATAACAATGAAAGCTCCGATTTATCAGAGTTTCCTCTCCGACGATCAAGTTAGTATCAGAAAGAAAGTTGTATCAACAAGAAAGTAATAAGAGGATAATTTCCTCTGTTTTCGTGTGAATGTAATAATTGTGTATTAAATGCTCCTTACAGCTCATAAATGAACAGTATTTATAATGAATGGGAGTGCGTGCCTCTTACGTTTTTTAACCTAGGTAAACTGGCAGCGCTGTTTTTACGACGCCTTGGGTATTAAGCCTGAAGGCCAATTTACCCTAATGCTAACTGATGCCACATGTCATTCTCTGGTTGATTCTTTAAGTGCTAGCATCTTCGATACATTTCACTGGATTACTGGTCCTCATGTTTAGGATATTTTTACATTAAACATAGAGTATTATAAAACAAATATAAAAGGAAATTATTGCAAATAATCCTTATTACGAAATGGAGGGAGTAATAATAGTTGGATAAAAATAAATTATAGTTGAAGGTCCCAAGACATGAGAATGCGCGAGGTCAACAGTATACCTCTGTATAAAAAAATACTCGTAGAGTAGCAGAAGCAACCTACGACCCTACTCCTCCCCCGCTTAGAGACAATTACCAGACAATTATTTGTACCTCCACGTGGCACCTTCTCCTCTACTCTACTACCTCCTTCACTTTCATACAAATACCCCTTTCTCTCTCCTTGATCTTCAAATCAACGGTCAAACCCACGCTTCCACATCTCCACTACCATGCACCCTACTACACCCAATCCCCCTCACTAAAGTGCACCTCAATAAAGCAAAGAGAGAGAGAGAAACAGACATTGAGAGTACTCAGAGAAATAAGAGGAGAGAGAATCTTGCACACATCCAACGAAGCGCTTAAGCAGTAGCAGCAGTAGCAGCAGCGCAAACCTGCTTTCTCTCTCTACTTTCTCTCTCTAAACTAAAACTTAAATTGAGTAAAGATAGGAGAGAGAAAGTGAGAGAGATGGCGACGGAGGGTGGTGGTGGTGGTGGCGGCGGCGGCGGAGTGGGCGGAGCAGCGGCGGCGGCGAGGAGGAAACCGTCGTGGAGAGAACGAGAGAATAATCGGAGGAGAGAGAGAAGGAGAAGAGCTATTGCTGCTAAAATATTTTCTGGGTTGAGAGCTCAAGGTAATTATAATCTTCCTAAACATTGCGATAATAATGAAGTTCTCAAAGCTCTTTGTGCTGAAGCTGGTTGGATTGTTGAACCCGATGGTACTACTTATCGCAAGGTAATTTGTTTGTTTGATTCTTCTTTTTATCAGATCTGCTTGTTTTCCGTGTTTTCGGGCATAGAATGTTGTAGACGGAATTTGATCTCATATTGATGACATTGTGTTGGTTGTATTTTCAGGGAATGAAGCCGCCGCCGCCGGAGATAGTGGCGAGTTTTAACAATTTTAGTGCGTGTTCATCGCAAATACCAAGTCCGTTATCTTCAGCATTTCAGAGTCCAATTCATTCGTTTCAACCAAGTCCTTCATCCTCTGCTCCTCAAAGTCCGAGTCGAAATGAGATCAATGCACAATCTCATCCGTTTTCATTCCTTTGTAATTCGATTCCTTCGAGTCTTCCGCCTCTTCGGATATCGAATAGTGCTCCTGTGACACCGTTGTTGTCATCGCCAACGTCGAAAACTGCTCCGAAACAGCCGGTGTTTAACTTCGAGGCGATTGCTAAGGAGTCTATGGCGTCTTTTAATTACCCCTTGTTTGCAGCTTCTGCTCCGTCGAGTCCTAATAGGCGGCGAAACTTTACCCCGCCAACGATACCGGAATGTGATGAATCTGACTGCTCTACGATTGATTCGGGTCAATGGATTAGCTTCCAGAGGTTTTCGAGACCTCCAATTCCAACATCACCCACATTTAATTTGGTTCGACCAATGGTTCAGAAAATGTCACTGAATGATGCAATGGAGGATAGAGCAAGAGCTCCCGAACCCGAAAGTATGCAGGTTACCCCTTGGGAGGGGGAGAGGATTCATGATGTTGGAATGGATGATCTTGAACTCACTCTTGGAAGTGGTACATCTAGGAACTGAAACGAAAGTCGCTCGAATTCGATCAAGTACAATCAAACAATGTTCTAAGCACCGTATTGGAAGTGTCTGAAATGAAACGAAAGTTGGTCGAATTTGGATTGGATTGTCATTGCAAAATGCCCTTTGGTTTAATTTGCTACAAGAAGTTTGCTTTAGATGATGATGGATGTTAAATTTTTTAGTTTAAGAGTTAATGCCCATAAGGGTGTTAATTTTCATGGATACTTTAGGTCCATATTTTTTTCTCTTTTATTTATTTTTTTCTGCCTGATTTGTTTACTGTGAAACTAGAATATATTGAGCTGCTTGGGGTTTTAACACAAGCATTACATGTAGATAAGATGGTTTAGTTTTCTTTCGATTTCGAGGAGGATTACCTCGAGTTGTAGACTCATGCCTAGATTGATTCTTCTTGAGTATTTATGAGGCATTCGTGAAGTGGATTACCTCTTGTTATTGTAGACTCAATGTTTCAAGATAAGAAATCTATGTTATGGCATTTGATTAGAATCAAACTCTTTCTTTTTTATTTAAAAGCTTCTGAAGGAATTCTTTTTTTATGCCTGTTTTTGCACGATTGAATTCACTGATCATTTATGCTAACTTTATTTTCAAGACATTATATTTCATATTGAATCATATGTGATACTATACAGTACATGATTGAGTTCACTAGGGCTACTGTCAAGTAGCACCTATTATTTTGATTATGTAGTTAACAGCATTTTTTACAGAACATTAATTGTGCCATCGTTGCTTTTCTGATTGCGCCCAACTCGACAACCATGGCGACGAGGCTTTTCAGGATCGGAGCTACTTGACTCCAATAGGAGACTTTGTAGACATCTTCTTCTAATGGTTGGTGCATATGCCAGGTTTTCAGCTGGGGTGCTGATGAATTCAACCTTGTGTGTATCAAGCTTTCCCTTCTCTTTACCTAGCTTTGTGTGTATCAACTGGGGTTCAATTTGGTTACGAGTGAAAAGCACGTGAACACCAGGGTTTCTTTCTGTCACAGAACTGTTGAAGACAAGTGAGTTGTTTATTCCTTGTGCATTGTTGTTGACGTATGACTTTGTTGCTAAATCTTCTTGGAGGTTTGTGTCTACAGATTTCCTCTTTCTGGAGCTTCCCTCACCTTCAGTGGTTTCAGCTGTTCTGTCAGAATTGAGCTTGTATCCCCTATGAATGTGAATTGGCCTCTCTTTGTTTATAGACTCAGAGCTAAGGTGCATGGTTGCTCCAATGTTTTCCCCTGCTAGAGTGATAATGCTTAATGGCTTCTGATGCAAGAGTTTTTCTTGCTGAGCACCTTGTTTGTGCCCTAATTTTGGCAAGTTCTCCTTGATCTCTTTTTGAAAAGGAGGCTTATGTCCTTCTGCATTTGCTTGCTTATGAGGATACCTTGCAACTCTTTCATCACCTCGGGTTTCATTTTCAGTATCATGCCCTCTATTTTCAGTTTTTTTGAAGACCTCCTTTATGTCAAAAACTTCTTTCTCTGAATGCAGTCCCTCCTCGTCTTGATCTGCAAGTGGATGTTCTATAGTTCGTGCTTTTGGGCTTATAACTTTTCTTTCAATAACTGCTTCTTTCTTAGGATCGTCATGATTTCCCTTAAGTATCTGTTTAGGCTGTTTGTAGGATGTATTATATTCTTTTACTATTTGTGGTTTGGGTTCTTGTTTTGGGCTAGAAACTTCTGCTGATAGCTTGGTAGATGGTTTTATTGTAGGCTCTTTATTAGCTGGTTGGTTTCTAGGTTCTTTAGGTGAAGCTGCTGTGCCTACCACTGGCTTGGGCTCTTCTAAAGGTGTTTGGGAAGTTTCTCGCTTTCTGAGGTCTTTTGGATTTTGAGTAATGTCACTTGCGACTGTTGGTTGTTTCTTTGTGGGGGATGAGTGCTTTACAGAAGATGTTGGAGGTGACCCTGTTGTGGCTTTTGTCCTGATTGGCTTGTCACCTCCTCGTGATGGAGATGGTGACTGTGGCAGTGCCTTTGTCGCTTGTTGGAGTTTGGAACTTACCTGCGTCGGGGAAGCAGGCCGGGAGGTAACTTGAGTCGGAGGAATAGTCTGTGATGTTGATGCTGGTGAACCTTGGGGTGCTTGTGTCTCCCGGGCCTGTATTGCTGGTTTAGATGTGCCTTGAGATGATCGTGAGGGTGATTGGGGTTCTTCTCTTGTTGGTGGTGCTGTTGGTGGTTTGGGCTGTGCTGGCGCCACTCCTGCTGGACGGAAAGGGGGCCGCTGTGCTGGTGGCTGAGATGGTGCTTGGGTCTCTTGGCTGGGACGTGAAGCAGCAGGTGCTTGCTGAGGTGTTGGTGGCTGAGATGGTGCTTGGGCCACTTGACTGGGACGTGGAGCAGCAGTTGCTTGCCGCGGTGCTGTTGGCTGAGATGGTGCTTGGGTCACTTGGCTGGGACGTTGAGCAGTAGGTGCTTGCCGTGGTGCTGGTGGCTGAGATGGTGCTTGGGTCACTTGGCGTGGAGCAGCAGGTGCTGCTGACCACGGGAGCCTAAAGCGGAATGGTTGCCTTTGCTCAGCCATGAATTAACAGAGAGATTAAATTGCCAACCAGAAGAAAAGTCTATTGAAATCTGAATTGTACACTTAGTTACATATGATATGGTGATGATGAGAATAAAATCAGGGCTTTGTATATATGGATTTAGTATGATACTTTGGTAATCATTTTGGATTTAATCATATTACGTAACACCTTTTCGATGCTTGGCTTCTTTGCTTCCTCAGGTAGGAGAAAGTATGCTTTACCTGCTACATATAAGATTCTTCACCCTTGTCTTTGATCTTGCTCCTTAACTTTTCAAGTAAGCTTGCGATTGAGTGTCTTGGAAATCTTCATTCAGTTAAATTCAATCTGGTTTCCTGTGCATCATATCAACTTCTCTTGGTGATTCATTTCTTGCTTGCGAGTCCAGATATGCTTTAATCCTGAGAGGCATTCTCTTTCAGCAAGTAAAATGTCAATTGTAATAATCTATCCTTTATTATTTTCTCATTGAAGGAAAGAACCAAGAAAATACCATACGGAAGTTAATTTGCACAAGGCACTCAAGTTTTTCCTTCAGAAGTAGATTTAATTCTCTATATTGCTGTAATCTCTTCAAAGTTTTTGGTGATAATTATCTTACAAAAATGCAACCATGGTATCGGATGGTACGGACTTGTCAAGAGACAGCTAAGCTATCAATTCTACATCACTCGCTTGGAAGAAATCCAGTTGAACTGAAGAAGGTTTTTGCCCGCCTCAGATGTGTCATTTCCACTCCTCCGGTGAATCACAAAGGACTGGAGAATACAACAGTATCAGATGTCCTGATGACCAAGGGAGGGGAGAGATCTGGCTCTTGGCTCTGGTGCCGCGCTGATGAAACTGTCCAAGATGCAGTGACACAGGTAGGTATCCTTGTGATGATGCGATAGATTCTTACTAATGCAGACTTTTATTTAAAGTATCCCGCAACTGACAACAATCTTGACTGCAGATGGCACGGAATGACATTGGCTCTTTGGTGGTTCTGAAGCCTGGAGATAAAGAGCTCATTTCAGGGATCATAACAGAAAGAGGTACTTCATAACTAAATCCCCATGTTATATCACTATTCCGAATACCACAGTTTATTCAAAATGTATGTACTCGGTATGAATGGTTAAATCAACACTGCTTCTCATGGATGAAATGGATGTGGGGAGAAGACTATCTCAGGAAAGTCGCTGCAGAAGGAAGACCTGCCAAGTATACAAGAGTTGGAGAAATCATGACCAGAACGGTAATACATTTTATTTCCTTATGTTACTTTCGTCGTATTTGTTGGGGCTATATTTCCAGTAATGAATTTTCACCCTGTTTCATTAGAGCTCCCCACTCTTTTATGTACTGTAGTACAAAGTTTTTTATTCTTAATTTTAATTTTGACAGGACAATTTAATAACAGTCACATCTGATGCAAACATTCTACATGCAATGCAGCTAATGACAGGTCAGTTGGTCTTGGGTACTGTAGAAAGGTTCTGAGAATGTTTCCAATATATTATTTACAAGCTGAAACATCGTTAATTTGATTCAAATAAATTGAATTCTTTGTTTATAGAGAACCACATACGACATGTCCCTGTCATAGATGGGAAGATAGTTGGCATGATATCAATGGCAGATCTCGTTCGAGCAGTAGTAGAGCAGCAAGGCGGGGATGTGAAGCGGCTCAACGAATTCATCAAGGGAGAATACTTCTAGGGTTGAATTAGAGGAAAATGTTTCAGACTTTAAAAGCCTCCTGATGCCATCAGTTACAGCTGCTAAGAAAATAATTGAGTTGGATAATGACTCAATCGTTGTCCGAAAGCTTCTAATTGCATTTTTTTCAGTTAACCGATTGCTTGATACACCGCGATATATGTATTAATACATTTGCAAAATAATGTACTCTTCAAATGAGCAAAAAAAATATTAAGCTGTAAATCTGTAATAAAATCTGTATTTTGCATTTTAATCGGATAATTGATCCTTTGTCTAAGGTTCATGGCCCCTAGAAGTTGGCTTGTTATAAATAACACTTGCACCAACAGACCGTGTTGATACACAGAACATGATCTATTGTGACAGCAAATAATTTATTTATTTATTTAAATTTTTTATTTGACAAAATGCAAATAATATATAGCTGTCTAACATTATTGTCAATAATGATACATGTATTAACCTTTGTGGGGTTATTGAGGGCCTAAAAATCTAAGTCTTAATTTTGTGGAAAATTCTGTTTGCACTCTGAAAATATTCTATTTATACATTATCCTACTTTATTTTAAAACTATTTCATTAATTTTTATGTGTGCTTTATTAATAACAAGAGTTTATTTAAGAGTAATAAGATAATAATGTAGGAGTGCAAATTGCTTTTGCCTTTATCTTTTCCTTTCCCTTTTTAATATTTGTCCCCTCCCTTTATGTTGTATACTTCTTTTGATCATTTGTTGATAATCTACTTTATCAGTTTTATTTATTTGCAACGTATTCAATTTCATGATATAATTAATATCTTAAATAAATTATAATGTTGCATATACTTTTAAATAAAATGGGTATTACCATAATTATTGTATATCCAAGTTAAAGTGTGAGTGTGATGAAGGATATTTCACGTCGTTAAATAAAACACCTAAGGATCAAACAATATTTATAACACTCAACCACCCTAATTCGAGTATAGGGGTAAGCTAAGGGATCGAATCACAGGGACAATATAAACACTATAAAAAAACAACCAACAATTAGGCAAAATCGAATCAATAGTACATGAAAACTAACGCTAAAGAAAAACACTAATAAGAAAGAACAATAACTAAATGAACTAAGGAGATTGGAACAAACTAATTATGTAAATCAAACAACAATATAATCAAGAACCATGAATATGGGAGACATAGTGAACTAAGCTAACATACTCATCGACTCAAAATTACAACCCATTAACAATATTAATCCAAACATACAAACTTACACTATCGTCATACATTCTTCGTCATGAACTCATATATAAAGAGGCACAAACAAGCACAAATCATTCAATGACATCCACTAGGCTCACTATCGTCGATCCCTAGCTTCACTTACCCATAGTTCACATATAATTTGCAACTAATTATAAGGGCTGACATCATTTTTTTTTTCATTTTTTTGATTTTTTGAAACAAAAAACCAAAAAAGAAAATAAGAAAAAAATATTTCCATTTGTATGTTGATAGTTTTCAAAATTATCATGATTTTAATAAAGTAGACTAATTTTTTATTCATTTATTTTTTTTTGAGGAAATGGACTCGTACCAACATATTCGAAATTGTTACTAATGTCCCATCGTGCCATCAAATGAGCCACAGTTTTACATGTTCGTCTAACATGAGAAAATTTACTAACTTCAAAAACTAAGCTATTAGCTATTATATCATCATAGATGAGATGGATAGGAGAGGAGCCTCTGATCTTGCACTTTGTGAAAACTGTTATGCCTAAATTTTCATCTCAGGTTCACTTGTTTGCAGGTTGTTAGGTTGCAGGTTACAAATTGCTACGTGATCAACTGGTCCCAGCTATTAAGCGAAGTTAAGCAAAGAATTTTCTAAGGAATATTCCAAGGGTATCCTTATTCGAACAAGTCAAGAGAGCTGCCAAGAATATCGGAACCACGAAGCACCATCACGCCGTTAATGAAGACCAATTCAAACTGCAATAGATAAGTCTTCAAGGATAAGGGCGAGGAAGTAGGAACTACCTCAACCCACTAGCCCCGGATTCCAAGGAATCCGAAATGAAGCCGTTGAAGTTCTTCAAGTTGTTTCTTATGCTATAAATAGGAGAACAATTATTGTATCAAGGCATCACAAATATCCCAGCCTTATTACTCATAGCAATCAAGTATTCTTAAGAAATCCTAAGCATCGTTGTTATCATATTGTAAACCTAAATTGTATTCGTTTTAACCTGTCAACCTAGTGGATTGGTGGACTCATTGTCACCCGCAGTTTTTACCCTTATTCTTGGGGTTTCCTGCGTCATCATCTCGTGTCTCTTCTCCCCTTCCCCTTTGCTCGTTCATTGCACTCCTCTTTATCTTATTTCCTTGAACCTGCATTGTCATTCTCATTCAAATTAATCTAGCTGTTGTTATTTTGAACCTAGTCTTATCTGGCAATCAGATTTTGACCTAAACAAAAACCAAACCTGCTCGCAAGCTAAAGGTCGTACCTGGCAGCGAGACCTTCAGCAACAGTAGGGTTAGTATAGGCAATCCTTCTCTTCCTAGCCACAATAACCCTGCCACATGCATCTTTGATAATCACAACCAATATAATACGTATAATTATACCGTAGAGATAGACTTAGGCGTATTACCGCCGCGTGATTACGAAAGGCTACCAAAATTACTAACTTAAACTAAAACTTTGTAGTGGAAACTTAAACTCTTTCTTTATTAATACTTAGTATAAATAGAAACCATTGTCATGAGTACTCAAAAATAGAAACAAAGACCAACATTCCTAGATCTAGGTGAAGAACATCCCGGGACTCTCATATGCTCAATTATTGACTCTACCTGAAATTAGTCAACAATGCTTACAAATAAGGTAAACAGGGTGAACCAAAACAAATACGAAATACGGATTAGCAAAATATACTAAGTATGATAAGTGCAAGCTAAGTAAACTCAATTTATTTGCAAACATGCTTTTAAAACAAATTCCAACAATAATCCAAAAATCCAACTCATTATTCAAAACCAATTACAAATTCAATAATTCAATAAAAGGATTAATAAAACCAATTCCTTTTTAAAAATCCAATTCTTCATCCAAGTGTGCACACCCCCCAAGTTAGTGTCTTTATATTGAAAGAGTATCCTTGATGAATGACTCGGTCATGCAAAGTCCAAAGTCTTATCAACCAAATCCGCATAGTGGGATTACTATCATCATGCTTGTAAAGCTTTAATAATAATTCAATAAATCCTTTTTAACTCAATAATTCCAATCTTTATAACAAACAACTCAAAACTCCTTTTTATTTAATATAACATGCTTTCAAGATCAAACCTTTTTAAAACATAATAAATAATTTAATCATTCAAAACATGATATAAAAATCAATCCTTCAATTTATTTATTA